ATATATATATATCCATATATATATATATATATATATGGATATATATATATATATATATATATATGTATATATATATATAAATAAGAAAAAATAAATAAATTGTATTTTCTTGCTTACAGAACCAAAAGCCAAAGTCTAAAAGGGACAGTTCAGATCTGCTGAGGTGGTGTTCTTTTGAAATGTTTTTAAACAGTTAAAATTTTAGCTGACGTAAACCTCTGTTTAAAAAATAAATACTGTCTACCTTCTTAAAACGGCTCCAAGGTCCAAGTTTTTAGTGTTCATGTTATTTATACATGATACAGAGGATATAAGCACAAATAGCTTCAGCACTTCTGGTACTGCCAGGGCTACGTTTCCTAAACAAATATCTTGTCGTTTCTGCCAAAATATTCATGTAACACAAAATGTAGTAAGTGTAAGTGTCCTTGTGATGCAGCTGAAGTGCTACAGCTAGTTGCTGCTGCCACTTTGTACCCTTGCAGTCATAGAACTTTAGAAATATTGTGTATTTCCACATTTGCAGAGGTGTAAAGTACTTTGTATCATTTACATCAGCTGCTCTAAAGATGAGAAGATTAGAGATGTTTTAGGATCCACTTTGGTCTTAGCCTCATTCAGACTAACTCATCAGTCCTGTCAGAATCAAAGTCTGTTTCTCCACACTGAGGTCATTCAATGAGTTATCTGCAACAGGTAAGATACTTTTGTGCAAAGCCTTTCCATAAAAATCCACTTCAAAGTTTCCAAGATCCTTCTAAGTTTTAAACAACTTAGAAGACACAAGTTGACAAAACGAAAAAAAAGATCGTTAAAATTAGAAGAATAGAAGAAACACCAGAGATGTAATGTCCAGCACTGACTCATTCATTTAAAATGAAGCCACTGGTCAGCTCATGGCTCCACACCCTCCCAACAGCACGTGATGCTCATCACTAGCTACAAATACCCCCCCCACCTCAAAACTGTTTTCATCAGTGGGGGTTTTAACGGTAGTTCAAAAAATGGAAAAATGAATGTTCAAGGAACTGTTTGGAAGTATTTGTAATCATGGCTTGGGGTTAGTGGGAACGCTGGTTCATACAACTGGTTTTAGACCATTGTGGATTGTGTGGGACAGGTCTGCCTTTGTTTCAACACGTGAGCAAGGACTGAACCGGGATCAGAGAGGTGCTGAGATCAGGGAAAATAAAGCGTGTCTTTGCATTGTAGCTGTTTGCTGTTGTGTGATGCATCTTTAGAAATGTAGTAAATGTGTAGCAGTGAAACAGGAAGTGGACAAAGACTGAGCTGAGATGAAGTGACTGTAAACACAGCGCGCCGTGCATCTGAAGCCATGCTCCACAAAAGACTGTCAGCTATTACACTTCACTGTTAAATATACGTGTGGATTCTTAATTTTACCCTTTTGTTTTAAAAAAGAAAAAAAAACTCACAAAGATCACAGAAATAACTTGAAACTGACAAACGTATCCAATTAAAATAAAAAGAGGAAAATGCTAATGATCATCTAATGACAGTCAGTCATTGCTTTTTGTATTTGGCTTCAACAGAATTCTTAAATAGACAAAAACATAATAACGTGAAACTGACTGGGACAAAAAGGATGGCCCCCTTGCTTCATTTCTGTAGGTTGCTGTGAGACTTCAGCACGTGCACAGGCTCAGGTCTGAAGGGCTCAGACTGCTCCTTCCTCAGATCTTCAACAGGCGGCAGCTTCAGAACAGCCCAATGTTTGGTTCCAAGCCATCCTCAGGTGTTTGTCCTGTTCGAGGACCCATGATCTGTGGCTGAGGACAAGCGCTCTGACACTGCAGCACATTCTACTCCTGAATGCCTTGATGGTCTTCAGATTTCATTGTACCCTGCACAGATCAACACACCCTGTGCCAGATGTAGCAAAGCAGGCCTAAAACTAAACCGAGGCTCCTCCATGTTTTACTGTAGGTTAGCATTTTGTACCTTGTAGCTTTCATTTTGGGTTTCTCTTCTGTTTGTCACCAGTTTTCCTCTTGTGGTCACGTTCATGGAGGTTTCCTACAGTCTTGTAGACTTTAATCTTCTGAATAATCTGCAGCTGCAGCCACAGGAACATCAAGCTGCTTGGAGATGGTCTTTACCTTTAACATGTCAATAATTAATTATTGACATGTTAAAGGACAACTGAGACAACTCTGTCCTTAACTCTCTGTGGTCCATGTAAAGTGTAATATAAAACAGCACTGTGACTATTTTCACCCTTTAAATAGACAGATTCAAAACTGAAGTCATCTTTTGATGCTAATTACAGGAACATCTTAGTCTGACGTCCCCATGGTCAAATTAAAAGTCTCTTCTAGGGTATTCTTTTAGACAAGGTCACCGTTTTGGTTTGTTTTATAAAATAATTGTCTCAAACCAAATTACAAAGGCAATGACAGATTTTCATTATTTGATGTTCAGTTTTTTCTTCTTCTGGGGGGGGGGGGGGGGGTGATTTAAATTTATTTCAGTGACTTTTTTCCCTAAAGGGTAAAAACAAATGTATCCACATCTATAAACTCACCTGCTCGTTAAAGAAGAGAAAATGGGCACAATGCTAACAGCCTTGCTATGACAAGTAAAATATCTTGAGCCCATCACAGCAGTCCAGCCCACAGGATAATAATAGAAATTAAAATCTTTTATACTGTTTATAGAAAGTATTTTGAACAACTTTTGTTTTAACATTTCAGAATGTATTCCAAGACGTGACTCGTCAGACATACAGTAAGTATAAAATGTAGCTGGAGTTATGGAGTTAGGCTGCAGCTTCAGGAGGATGACGAGGATGACTTGTTGATTTGAAGGCTCCAGAAGACAGATGTTACCAAACTGAATGTGTCCACAAACACACACAAAACAAACACCTACAACATATGCTTATCTGTGGTAGTATTCTACAGCGTGTGCAGTTTGGTTTGTACTGGATTTCAATATGTGCACGTGTGCACCACAGCACAGCACTACACACACTCCTTGCAGCCACATTCCACAGGCTTCTCCACATCTTGTGTGACCGATGTCCCGTTGTCGCATTCGAAGGTGAGCCGCCGCCGCCGGATCCTCAGAGGAGCGCAGCAGGAGGCAGCTCCAACTCCCTGCACAATGTCTAGTTGGCAGCGACCCCGACACTCGACCCAGGAGAAAGGTTTCGACGTTTGACAGAGGACGGTGCCGCGCTGCAGCCGGTGGTAGTCCCTGACGGGCTCGCCTCGACATGGAGACTCTGTAGGTGGGAGCACAGGCTCAACGTTCAAAAAGGCTCCAACTGTTCTTCAAAACCAACAATAGTTTTTGACAATGTTTCCAAAATACAAAGATTTTTTTAGAAAAACATTCATCCAACCTTTATTTATTCAGGTTAGTCTCATTGAGTCACGAGGACTCATTTACAAGAGAGACCTGTTTTAGACAGACAACATATAAAGTACAGACAGCAATATTCAACAACAAAATAATAAAATAAAATAAAAGTAGCTTTACAAACAGTCAAATCAAGGTGCCATGTAAAACAAAGTAAAATACTAAAAACAAGAAACTATTTGCTTTGATTTTTCTATTGACTTCATCAAATGTTTAAAATCCCCTAAAGAAATCAAGGTGGACAACTTCAGATCTTTTTGCAAAGTGTTCCAGGAAACAGGAGCAAAGTAAAAAAGGCCTTTTGGCTGAGTTCAGTCCTCACTGAGGGAACGCTGCAGGTAATGATGTCTTGAGAGCGCACGCTGTAGCTGCACTCACACAGAGACATGTAGGAGGAGATGTATGAAGGCAGCAGACCAGGAAGTGATTTAAAGATGAAAATGTACCAGTGAGAGAGTCTGTGTGAAGTTAATGATGTCCACCTGTATTTTGCTTCGTGTGTTACCTGTTGTTCTGTCTGTACAGCACGTTGGTTGGCCTTGTCGCTGTTTTAAGTGCTTTATAAATAAAATGGTATGGTATCTAAAAAAGTTAAGTCTGGCCCTCTGGACATTCAAAAAACAAAACAAAAAAAACTAGAAACATTTCGTCTTTCATCTGAAAGACCTTCACTTGAACTTGGCTTGACTTGAAGAAGTCTTTCGGAAGAAAGATGAAACATTTCTACATTTTTTGTTTTTGTTTGATTTGCTTTGTTTTGTTTTTTTGAATGTCCAGAAGACCAGACTTAACTTTTTTAGATTTTTCTACCTGGAATATTGAGCAGCATCAGGATAATTAACGATGACCAGTTAACCAGTAGGTGCAATGATGGGTACCATACCATACCATACCAATTTATTTCTAAAGCACTTAAAATACAACAAGCAGCCGTCCGAAGTGCTGTACAAAATTAAAAACAAACAAAAAACAGTAAAACAATAAAAACACCTA